GAAAGCGATTATATGCTTCGTCCAGGATCCTACAGCTAGTAAGGGTCTGAAACAGGGGTAATACTCTGGTCTTCCTGATTTCCAAGTCCAGCAGTCTATCCACTGCATCACCTAGCTGTCTTTTTCATCTTCTCTATGGAGTTTGGTAACTCACTTGTTCCTCAGAAGGTGCAAATCCACAATTTATTTTAAGTCTTTCCTACCTATTTTATAATAACTCCAGTAGTTCAGTCTCTTCTCTTTCCTTCTCTACTTTGTGTAACATTTTTCTTTTCACCAGCCTATCAGTACTTCTTTTACTTCTCTTCCACCTCTTTAAGACATTGTTTTTTTTATTTCCTTCTTGGATCATTTATTCCCATGTTCTAAACTCCATTTCCTCTCCTGTAACAGGGAGACCAATTTTCTCTTGACACAGACAAAGTTGTCAGTAATCTTCCACAGAAATGCAGACACAGCTCAAGCCTCTCAAATCCCTGGATCAATCTTCTGGATTTCGATACATCTGAGATTTCATCCTTCAGGTCTTTGGGCCTGCCTGTGATAAATATGGTGTTACCAATAATCAATCAATAAGCATTTATTAATGCCTTACCATGTTTCACTGTGGTAAGTGGTGGGAGTACAAAGAAAGAGCAAAAATTGTCCCTGCCTTCAAGGAGCTTACATTTGAGTGGGGGAGACAATGCGTACATAAAATAAGTATATAAGACACACATATGGAGAATATATAATGTAACCTGGGCAACGGAAGGAACTAGTAGACTGGGAGATTAGGAAAGGCTTCCTGTAGATGGTATCACTTGGCTGAATCTTGAAGGATTCTTGGGTTTCTAAGTGGGGGGGGGAAGAGAAGCGAGAACATTCTAGTAATAGGAGATGGCCAACAAAGAGATGTATGCTGCAAGTATACTAGAATGCATGAGGGGAATAATGTATAAGAAGACTGGAAAGGTAGGTAGGGATGAAGTTATAAAGAGCTTTAAATGCCAAACAAGAATTTGTATTTGACTCTAGGAGTAATAGGGAACTGTTGCTGTTTTGGTGTGTATTGTAGGGGTTGTCTCAAAGAATTCAGAGTGGGACCACCCCTAGTCCAAGTACAGGCATTTATTGAGAATTGATGCCCCTCAGAAGAGGGCTAGGTTCCAAGAGGAACCAGCAACTTAGTAAGACAAGACAGACAATTTTATAGTATAGTGATGTGCTTATACAACAGAAATTATGAATATTAAAAAAGCAGGAAGGATTTGTTAAGGGATTAGTAATAGTAGAGGGGTCCCTTCTATGGTTTGGTGGTCAGACATCCTGGTTGTGCTGTTTTCTGATTGTCTAGCTGTTGTCCTGTCAGTTCAAGATGGATAATTAGGTATTGTGGTCCTGTCTTGGGCTAAATGGATGATGTGATTGTGGTTGAGTACAAGGACACACCTGTTCAAATATGTGAATTGGATCTGGGGGCAGTGGCTGTGTTGATTCTGGGGGCCTGAGGTACGGTTAAAGCCAGATTGGGTGGTTAAATCAGGACATGCCATGTTCAGTGGGGCCCAAAAGGAAGTTAGAATATTGGGGCCGGGGGCAGCTTTATGAGGATTCCATCAGAATATTAGAGTTTATTTAGTAGGGGATGTGTGTGACATGGTGTTCTGGGGCAGAGCCTGACTCAGGCCAGTCTTCTGATAGTTTAGTTTTGTTGCTTTGTAGGTTGTTCAATGGTTAACGAAAAAGAGATTTACCATAGCGGGAGAAGGTTATTCAATGTGGATAGATGTTGAAGATACCTCCAGCTGAATAAAACTCCTTGCCTGATCCCCCAGCCAAGAATCAGAAAGAGGACCTGGAACTCCTTTTGACTGCTTTATACTCGTGTGAAGAAGAAATGATCTCAATAACCCAACCTTTAGTTCCCTGGGCCGACCAAGTCTCAAGGATAGTCACAATGCCATTTAAAGAAAAATTAGCCTAACTTGCAACCTGACCTTACATAGATAACTCCCAACACCACCAGCAGTCTCAGCAATAAATAATACCTTACATTCAGACAGAGCCTTATGGTTTTCAAAGAATCACCATATACATTCTGCTGATTCTCATATAAACTTTATGAGGTAGTCAAGGCAGGTATTATTATCATCCCCATTTTATAGACCTAGGAAACTGAAGCATATGCCTGCCGTTAGCATGTTGCTCCTACTACATGTGGTCAGGCCTGAGCTTTAGGTTGTAGTGTAAAGAGCATTAGATTAGAGCTAAGATCTAGGTTCAGATCTTGATTCTACTACTTACTATCATTGTGGTTTTCAAATAGTAATGTCACCTCTTGGTCCCTTTTTATTATTTGTAAAATAAGAGAATTGGACTAGATGTTCTCTATTGTTTAGTTGTTTTATAGTCACGTCCCACTCTTTGTGACCCCATTTGGGGTTTTCTTGGCAGAGATACTGGAGTGGTTTGGCATTTCTTTCTTCAGCTTATTTTACAGATGAAGAAACTGAGGCAGAAAAGATTAAGTGACTTGCCTTGGGTCACACAGCTAGTAAGTGTCTAAAGCTATATTTGAACTCAGGAAGATGAGTTTTCGTGATGCCGGGCCTCACACTCTATCCATTGTACCATCTACCTGCTCCAGAAGTTCTCTAAGGTCCTGCTAACTTTAAGTCTATGAACCTATGAAGTCTGAAGTGTTCAAAAAAGGCATCTTTTGAACTGACGTTGCTCATTAGTGGCTCTTACCTGTTTTCTGCTCCAGATCTTTGTTCATCTGAGGGCTCTCAGGTAGTTCCTTCTTAAAATTTCTTAGGTTGTCTGGTTCTCGTTTGATTAGGCATCAGGAATCATACAAACATATACCAATATGTTTTGATAGAATAATATTCAGTTTTAATGTTGAACATTATCGTTATTATCTCTATTCCTAGCCACCAAATCCCATCTCCTTCTTTCCCAAAAGCTCTTCCTTATAATAGATAAGTGTCTGTAGTTAGGTGGTATGATGGATAGAGCATTGGCCCTGGAGTCAGGAAGACCCGAGTTCAAATTCAGCCTCATATACTTACTAGCTGTATGACCCTGGGCAAGTCACTTAACCCCTGTCTGTCTCAGTTTCCTTAACTGTAAAATGGGGATAAAAATAGCACCTACCTGGTAGGGTTGTTGTAAGGACCAAATGAGGTAATGTTTGTAAAAGTGCAGTGCTTGACACTTATTAAGTGCTTAATAAATGCTTATTACTTTCTCTAGTGAAGAAAAGCAAATCATCACTTTGGCCATGTTTGAAAATGTTTGTCTTCTAGACCTCCTGCCTCTTTTCTTTGCTTTTTCACCAGTCTTCTGAAGTCATGATTGGCTATTTGCTTTAATCAGAGCTCTGAAGTCTTTCAAAGTTGTTTTCCTTTATTGTTGTATAACTTGTTGTGCTGGTTCTGTTTATTTCACTCGGTGTCAGTTGATACAAGTCTTCCCATTTTTCTCTGAATCTGTCATATGGCTTCCTTTACATCTATGTTGGACTGGCAGATGCTTTTCTGTGGAGCAGTCATTCCAGCTTCTTTCCCCTGGACCAATACAAACTAGTCATTGATTTCTGGATGGGCTTCACCATTAAAAGCCACCAACCACAAGTGACAGAGCCACTTTCCCGCAGCCCACTTTTGTTTGCCACCCAACCCTGCTGTGTGGAGTTCATTGTGTCATTAATAATGTTTTGCATTGTAGATGTGAAGAGGAAGGCTCTCATTAACTAATGTTGTTGATGTCTTGTTCTTTAGGTTAATAGTCCGATAGCAAAAGATGGCCTTTTTTGGAAAATATATTTTTAATATTTAAAAAAATAATAAGCATGCGTGTCGGATTTATTTTAGGGCACTCATCATCCCTGTACGCTAGCAATATGTATAAGCGCTGGGTGCAAACGTTAATCTGGAAGAATTATACTAGGGTGAATTTGAATGAGGTGGTACAGTGGAAGGGCCTGGAGTCAGGAAGACCTGAGTTCAAATCCAGCCTCAGATACTTACTAGCTACGTCACCCTGGGCAAGTCACTTAATCATGTTTGTCTCAGTTTCCTCATCTGTAAAATGAGTTGGAGAAGGAAATGGTAAATCAAGAGAACCCCAAATGGGGTCACGAAGAGTTGAACGTGACTGAAATGACCGAACAACAACAAAGTTGAATGAACATCTGTCAAAAATCTGAGTAATGGGCTGTTTCAAGTGATAAACAGCTTTATAGTAGAGGTAGTGTGGTGTAATGTAAGGAGCACTGTACTCTATTTGATGAGAGGTTGAGCTTCTAGTCTCTTCTATACCTCTTTTTTTTTTTTTGGTGAGGCAGTCAGGGTTAAGTGACTTGCCCAGGGTCACACAGCTAAGTGTTAAGTGTCTGAGGGCAGATTTGAACTCAGGTCTTCCTGACTCCAAGGCCAGGGCTCTATCCACTTCACCACCTAGCTGCCTTATGGTTTTTTTTTTGTCTTCTATGCCTCTTGCTAGCCATGTCAGGATTAGAAGGGACCAACTATTACTAATCTATATGATTATCCAGAAGTGGGAAAGTAACTAGATCAGCCTATGTCTCAGTTTTCTCAGTCTAAAAAATGGGAACAGTAGCACCTATCTTGACTACCTCATAGAGTTTATATGAAGATCATCAAGTGATTGATTATATACTGTGATTCTTCGAAAACCATAAAATCTGTGCAAATGTAAGGTACTATTTATTGTTCAGAATGATGGCAGTGTTGGGAGTTGTCTATGAAAGGTTAGGTTGAGGGAAGTCAATCTATATATTGATGAATCTTTGGAATGTAATGCTTGATGTGGAAAAAAAAAGTTATATCTGTATGTAAATTTCATATACACACCCAAAGCAACCTCAGTATTTGAAGGGCAGGTAGAAGCATAAAGTTCAATCAGTACTCCGGAGAATAGGTTAAAATTATACATTCCTTTTAGGAAAAGCTGAATGACATTTAAATGACATTTTTTTCCCTGTTCCACAGAAACCAAAGGCAAATACCAAGATAATTTGCAAGCGTTGCAAAGCAATGCTAGGAGAAACTGGATCATCAGGTAAGCATTTCGTAGCAAGTATCAAAATGGTTTGCCTCATTTGCAAAATTTTCTTGTAGGGAAAAATGAGGAAAAAAATCACATGAAAAAGATCTGAGGGTTTTAGTGGACTGCAGGCATCATATGATTTAAATGACTTTGCACTAACTTTTTTGACTACCATTTTAGGCAGCATTAAGAAAGTCAAAGTGAACAGAACAGATGCTACAGTATTCCAAGGGTGTGGTCCTACTAAACTTGGAGTATTGTGTTCAGTTCTGGCCATCACAGCTTAGGAAGAGCCTGATTAACTTGGCCAGCAATCAGAAGAGGATAGACAGGATGGTGAGAGGATTTGAGATTATGCCATGTGAGGATTGTTTGAAGGAACTGGGAATTATTTAGCCTGGAAGAAGAGAGGATGTGGGAATGAGGGCATGATGAAGTATCTGAAACTGAATTATATGGAAGAGGGACCATTTCTTGTTGGCCCCAGAAGGCAGAAATAGATGCAGTGGGTAGAAGATACAGAGAGGTAAATCTAAGCCCCATGGAAGGAAAAAGACTTCAGAATGAGAGCTTTCTAGGAGTAGTACAGGAAGCCACCTGGGGGCAGTGGTGATCCCTTCACCCAAGGTCTTCAACGGAAGACTGAAAGACTAATCATTGGAGAGGTACAACCTATATAAGAGAAGATTCCTATATAAGTATGAATTGGACTAGATGTTCCCTTCCAACTCTGAGATTCTGTAAAGAGAGATTTATATGTGTTACAGAAATAGGCTTGTTCAACATACAGCCCTATTAACAGTTTTATATACAGTATAACAATATCAGAAATTGGTGGTGGGGGAGCTAGGGAAAAGAATAAACATTTATATAACACCTATTCTGTACAAAGCACTGTTCTAAGCACTTTACAAATATTGCCTCATTTAGTCCTCACAACAACCCCTGGAGGTAGATGCTATCATTATCCCCATTTTACACTTGAGAAAACTGAGGTAGATGGTGGTTAAGTGACTTGCTGAGGGTTATACAGCTAGTGAGTGCCTGAGGCTGGATTTTACCTCAGGTCTTTTTGACTCCAGGCCCAGCACTCTGTCTTCTATGCCCCCTAGCTACTTCATTTGTTTTTTATTGTTTTTATTTTGACCCTTGGAAATGAACTATAGGATGTTTTTAGCATTCAGAAATATGGAAAAAGGCCCTTTTCAGAGAGGGCACCATAAAATTGATTGAGAGCTTGCTTCAGAATCAGGAAGTTCAGGGTTCAAGTCCTGTCTCTGACACATACTTTCTGTATAACCCTGGGAAGGTCTATTAGATTCTTAGTGCCCCAAGCAACTCTCAGAAACATTAAGTCTAAGAGCATTTGCTCTTCTGTGTCAATAGAGGTAGAGAACTCCTCCCAAGAATTCCTTACACCGGTGATCTTGTTTCACTCCCTCTATACTCTTTGAAGAGACAAAGAAGCTCTAGGATATAGGATTCAGTCTTAGATCTTTCTTATCCTTATTCTGTCCAAATCAACATCTATCAAGTGTCCACTCTGTGCCTTTATCACTGGGGATGCTGGGGATTTACATTTTGTTGAAAAAGCGTTAACGACCTGGTACAATGTATGGAAGGATCAGAAAATATCCCAGCGTGTATGGTATATAGCAAATGTTTACCTGGATTGATCCAGCCTATAACAGTATAGTCTATGGTGCTCTTGCTTCCTTCTCGAAACCATACTCCCTCCCCCAACACTCAGTCTTTCTCTCTTTTCCCTTTAATTTGCCTTTATATTGTCAGGAAAGGGGGTTACTATATCTCCCTACTCTGAGTCCTAAGTGTGACCCTTGTGGGTGACTGTGCCTACTAACACTGTAGCTTATTAGTCCCCATGGGTGTACTTCCCTGTCATAAATCAGTCATTAATTCTCAGTTAACGTTAATCAAAATGTTTACTGAAAATGCAAAACAAACACAAAATATTTACATAACATTCCACACATAAATCTCCCACTATTGCACATACTGTCTTTGGAGAGAGTGAATATGCCCTTTAAGTCCCAGGGTAGTATTGCACATATGTTGGGAATATGTGTGCTAGAGCAGCTCACAACTCTGGAATTATAGAATTCTGTATCCTTTTTTAGGATATTGATATACTTCAACATCCTCTTTCCTATCCAATTTTAGGAATTGTCCATAAGAATTCCTTGATCAATGGTAGCTTCTGCGTCAGCAAATGCTTCTAGTGCTAAGCTGAATTGATCCACTCGGTGCCAGATTAACACCTCACTAGACACAGGCTCTCAGTTGGATGAGTTGATTTACTTGACTGCTTCTTTGATGTTCCAGGTGTTTCCTCTGCCCAGCTGGGCTTGCTCGTCAGCAGTGACTTTAGTGTCTGCCACTTCTAGCTTCATGCCTTCAGCTGATAGAATGTTGTGTTCTTTTGGGAAAAGGCAATGACCTTTATCATAAGATTAGCAAAAGCCTCTTCAGCTTTGTTCCTTTGGCAGGATTCTTCTCCATCCCTCAGCAGTAACAGGTGGTTATACAATAAATATCTTCTGTCTCCTCTTTTCTTTTCCTTCCCAGCAACAAGTGGCAGCAAAGAGCAGAGTATCTTCTCATCTTTCCTCTCCTCTTCTTTTTCCTCCTCTTCCTTCTCTCCTCTATTTCCCTTTCCTTCTCCTTCTTTTCTTCCTCTTCTGTCCTCTTCCCAGCAGCAGATGCCAGTTAAGAGAGCAAAATTTATCCTTTCCACTTCTTAGCAGGTAGCAGCAAGTCACATATAGATGATGACTAAGTCCCCTGTAATATGCAGGTTGGTCATTACTTTTTTTTTTAAACGTTGAAGAACTATTATTTTCATGGCAGTTAAAGAGGTTTATGTCCCAGATAAGTGAATTGTCAAAGGTTACTCAGCTTAAAAGTGGAAAGAGCCTTGGCTCTGGACTCAGAGGACTGGGTCCAAATCTTACCTCTGAAGCATGTTGCTTATATGATCTGAGGCAAATCATTTTACCACTGCTGGCCTCAATTTCCTCTTTAAAAAGAGAGAGAGAGCAAGAGAGAGAGAGAGAAAGTTGGAACTAGATGTCCTTTGAGGCCCCTTCTACTTCCGGATCTATCATCCTGTGATCCTTATAACCTTTCTTCTATATTTCCCTCCCTACCTCCCATGGGTTGACAAAATAGTTTTTCTGAACTGCTCTGGTCCAATTTTATATATAGTTTTTTTATGGGACATTATGCGATTGAAGAGACTTAAACAAATTCTGTTCTGTGTCCCTCATTTGTTGTTCCAATGTTAATTGTATTTCATTTAAGTTAAGCCATTTTAAAGTCTAGTAATGAAAATTCTCATAATTGAAATGAATATCATTATTTCAGTGTGTGCTTTTAAAACATCTAGAGTGCTACAGCATGCTGTGCTCACACTGGGTGTGATGACTAATAGCTTTTAATATCATTAATTATGAAAAGTTTGAGTTTAAATGAAACTCAGTTTCAGTTATGCATAAAAGGCAGAAGGTATTTGCTCCTGAATATGGCAATAATCTTGAAAATAGTTACTGAACCACTTGCTAGGATTAATGATGACTTGTTCTGAACAAGTATTAATGAATGCTACAGTTATTGCCTCATTTATCCAGTATTGTCAGGACATAGAGTATGCACCCTAAGTGAATTTTTCCAATTACTGAAATTTTTCCCTGCAAGCAGCAAAACTTTATTAACTTTACAAAAAAACCCCAAACACTTTGTAAAACATTTTTTTCAAAGAGTCTTTTTATTTTTTGTCCAGATTTGTCCTTGATATAGGGAGCTCACAGTGAGGAAAGTTAACAAATTAACTTTTGTTAACAAATATTCTATAACTTATAGTCTTAGAAATTCAGATTAACAAATATTCTATAGCTTATAGTCTTAGAGAGTTCTCTGGAGCATTGGGAGGTTAATTGCTTTATCCATGGTTACACAGGTGGTATATTTCAGAAATAGCACTTGAACTCAGCTCTTTCTGGTTCTGAGAGAGGCTCTCACTCCATTCTACACTACATATGAATACAAGTTAAACTTTTCTTCATGGTGTAGTTATATTAATTAACAAGTATTTATTAAGCACCCACAATGTTCTAGATACTGCAGATGCAAAACATTTTAAAATGTTTTAAGAAAAAACAAAACAAAACAAACAAAAAAAACCCAGCCCCTACTCTAGGGGAGACAACAAGCAACATATATACAGGAGAAAAAATTGGAGATAATAGCAGAAGGAAGGCACCAAGACAAGGAGGAAGGGAGGACTGGGAGAAGCTTCTTCATGGAGGTAGGACTTCAACTGAGACCTGGAGGAGGCCAGGAAAAGCAGGCAATGGAGATGAGGAGGGAAAGAGTCTCAGAATGGGGGGAAGCCAGTGAAAATGTTTGGAGTTGTGAGATGGAGTAGCATGAATGAGGAACAGCAAGGAGGCCTGTGTCACTGAAGGAGACTGAGGTGATAGAAGATTGTAAAGGTGGGAAGGGGCCAGGTGATAAGGGGCTTTGAAAGCCATGTTTGTATTTGATCCTAGAGTTCATAGAGACCTGTAGAGGAGAGATGGAGGCATGGTCAGACCTGTGTTTTAGAAAGATCAATTTGACAGCTGAGTGGAGGATTGACTGGAGTAGGGAAGGCACACTAACCAGCAGGTTATTGCAATAATCCAGGCACGAGGTGATGAGGGCATGCACCAGGGTGGTGGCAATGTCAGAGGAGAGGAAGAGATGAGGGGGAGTATGCAAGAGGGGTTATGAAGACAGAAATAGCAGTACTTCAAAACTGATTGGATATGGAGAGGCAGGATGAGAGAGTGAGGAATTGAGGACGACATCAGCATGAGCATTTGTTATTGTCCTGTACAGTTAATACCATTTTCTGTGCATTTTTTAGCTGTTCTGTCTCTTACCTTGATGTCAGAATGTCAGCTGCTCTTTACCCATTCGCATTGTGACTGCTTGTGACAGCCTGACTCCCATTTCTGCAGAATCAGAGCCTCAGAGTTAGGAGGACCTTAGAAGGCATTCAGGAATCCTCCATCTCGGTACTTCAGTCCCTTCTCTAGCACACTTGGCCATAGATGGTCATCCATTCTCAGGGAGGCTCCCCCATCCCCATGCTGCACAGCTTACATTGTTACAAAGTTTCTTCTTTATGTTCAGTGGAAATCTGTTTCCCTGTAACTTCTAACTATTTGTCCTAGTTCTGGCTAATGAAGCAGTACAAACCACATGATAGCCTTTTAAATACTTGGAGACAGTTATTTTGACCTTTCCCTCTCATCTCTTTTTTTTTTTCAGCCAAAGACAAGGTTTATTAGAACGTCCCATCAAGTTGGGCAGACTTTTAAGGAGTCTGATTGTTAGTGAGCTATTGGCTAGATTATAAGAATCTGAACCACCCTCTCATCTCTTTTAAGCCTGCCAAAGCCTTCTTTTCTCAGACCAAACATTTTCAGCTTTCTCAACACTTACCAATATGACAAGGTCATTCACCATCCTAGCAGTTTTCCTCTTTTGTCAACATACTTCTTAAAGAGTTGAGATCCATAATTCTATGTAAGAATTCTCATTGTTGTTGTCTGACCAGGGAAGAAGTCAGTACACTTAGTATTTCCCTTATCCTGGCCCTGTGTTTTTATTAAGGCAGCCTAGATTGTATTATTATTTTTTTAAGCTTCCATGGCATATTTTTGGCTCGTTTAAGTTGCTACCAGGTCCTTTTCATATGAGGCACTGTCAGAGAATGTCTCTCGTGTCCTGTGCTTATAGGTAAAAGGACTGGACCTATAATTGTATTGGTATAAGAAACTCCTGGATGAGGAAACTCCCTTGCCAATTCATATTAGTACCTTCTCTGCAATATGTAAATGTCTAAAAGCACTGAGAAGTTAAGTGACTTTGCCTTGGGTCACATGGCTAGTTTGTTAGAGGCAAGGCTTGAACTCAGGTCTTCCTGACTGCATGCTGACTCTCTACCCTTTATGCCATGCTGGCTGTCCACTCACTAAGCCATGCTTGTCCCTTCATTCCTGTAGTTAGCGCCACTAGATTTTAAAAATCTAAATGAGTGGCTTTAATGCCAGTTAAATTCCTGGTTTGTTGCTTTAGAACTACAGTGGGTTCCATAATCAAGATGATCTGGCTTTTTCAAAAAGGCTATCATGGTGGATTCTGAAGTGACTCCTATCAGCAGCTAGTCATTTCTCTTCTGTTAGGATGGAGCCAATCCCACATTTTGTGATTTTCTTTGCAGCTTGCCATAACCACTGTTTTCTGACTCTCCTATTAAAGATAAGCATCAGGCTCCTGTGTCCTCGAGGTCTTTGATCATTTTCATTCCTATTTTGGGCAGTTAGATGGTGTAGTGTATAGAGTTTCAGGCCTGGAGTCAGGAAGACTCATCTTCCTGAGTTCAAATATGGCCTCAGACATTTAGTAGCTATGTGACCCTGGGCAAGTCACTTAACCTTGTTTGCCCTTTCTCATCTGCAAAATGAGCTGAAGAAAGAAATGGCAAACCATTCCAGTATCTTTGCCAAGAAAACCCCAAATGAGGTCATGAAGAGTTGGACACAATTGAAAAATTCCCAATTTTCCAACAAGCTTTTTACCATCCTTTCCTGCTCAACTCTATATGGCAATCATTGAGTATTTATATATGTGTATAGACGTATATACATATGCATATATATGTACATATATGTATGTATATTTTAACTGTGAAGGATCTAAATTTTTCTTCTCTATCCAGATGTTGCATATAAGCTGTCATTATTGTTAGAGAACTCTTTGCATATGCTTATAAGTGCAGCAAGAGGAGATGATCAAGTGTTGCGTGAAATTCTTTTTAATTGCATTGAAACTAGCTCTACTCACTTCTCTATCTCCCTCTCTAAGGAGATCCTAAGGAAGAGGTACAACTTCCCCTTATCTTCTGAAATTTGCAAGAATCAATTTTTGCAATTGATGTAGTTCATTTGCTCCAGTGGCATATCATTTCATTGGTCACTGGACAAAGATTTCATGTTTAGAATCCCGGTATTTAAACTGATGCTTATTGATGGTCTAAAAACTGGAATTTTCTTTGATACCCTCTACACTTTTGTCCATCCTTTCACTGCAGTATTCTGTGGACAGGGAATAAGAGAGCTACCAGGAGTACAATCTCATTTTGTATTTGTCTTTGTTTCATCGGCTGCCGTTACTAAAGAATTTTCTATCTGGTGATCCTCCAACTGCTTCAGCTTCTTCAAACTTAGCCATATTGGTCCTCTGATAATAGATTTAGTCCATCACTGATACTCTACTCAAAGGCTTTCCAACATGGCAGAATGTACCAGAGCTTATAGTCCACTGGTGTAGCCTCTGATAATAGAGTGTTACCTCCGTGCTGTGAGAGGACATTGAAATAGGGCTTGGTAAATGCAGAGGAAGACCCCTCCCCCATCATGTTGGGTAGATCCTTTTTGGAGGAACTTTGGAAGAACCTGGCAAGCGTCTTGTAGGATGAAAAGGCCTGGAGGAGTTGTAATCTGTAGGTTCTATATCTATAAGGTCATAGATTATTTTCAATCATTCAATAAATATTTATCAGGCACCTACTATATGCCAGGCATTATGCTGACCCCTAGAGATACAAAAAAAGGCAAAAGACAATTTACTGCCAAATATTGAAGTAAAGTATTCTTGTGGGAGCATAAACTCTGGTAAATTGTACCCTGATGAAAAGCTTCAGATATGGGCTGATGAGGGATGTTTCTGTTCTTGGATGATCAGCCTAATTAATTAGTAAGGCTTATTATCTGAGGTTTGGCTACCAGGTGACAAATTCATAGGATTATAGATTTGGAGATGGAAGGCATTTTAGAGGCCATTGTGTCCAGCTCCCTAATTTCACAGATGATGAAATTGAGACGCAGGTTAAGTGACTTTGCTGGGGTCACACAGTGGGCATCTGAGACAAGATCTGAACTCAGCTCTTCCTGACTCCAAGTCCAATGCTCTATCCATCTAATTATCTCTAATTCTTTGGGCCAGCAGCAGGTGGTTATCTTCACGGGAGGAGAGGAAAGAGTGCCCAAAGGATGAAATCTGTGTTCCTTAGGGACAATACAACTATGAGTACAGCTCTTTGAATAGAAAAAAAAAAAAGAAAATCACGTAGGAGGCCTACGCTATATACCTTTGTGTCAGAATGGTTCCATGGAATTATATGATCACAGATTTAGAGCCAGACAAGATCTCGGAGGCCATATAATCCAAACCGTTTTTTACAGATGAAGATTTGAGACAAGTCAAATGACTTCGCTAATGTCACACTTACAGGTAGTAAGCAGCAGAGACAAAATTCAAACTCATGTCCTCCACCACAAATCCCATACATTTTCCACTGAAGCCCCATGAAAAACTAATCATGAGTCTTGACTCAGGTATCCTGAAAAGATTCACAATAGTGTTATTTCATTAGGGCTTTAAATATTTAACTTGAAAATGTCACGATTTGGTTTTGGAATGTGTGAAATGAAAGTTTTATGTTTTAGCATTATTGTGGGAATTGCTTCCTCTTAAATTTTCTTCTTCTTGTTTTAGGGACCACAAAGTTTTATATCACAGAGATAATTATCCAGCCATCTGGGAGAGATTTTGACATGATACCAAGGTACAAATAGCAAATTGAGTTTCTTTTCTAGTCTCAAATGGTGCTGAGAATTGTGGAGAGAATTTATTCTATCCTGGAATTTGTTTTGGTTACATAATATAATAGACAAAAGTGTATGAATCTAGATTGATTCATACTTTTTGCAGCATGGAAATAATAATAGTGCTTTACATTTATAGAACATTTTACAATTTTCAAAACTGTTTCATACCGTATTTGGTCCTTACAACTAACTGGTGAAGCTGGGTAGGGCTGATTTTATAACAAATGGAGAAATGAAGGCCCAGAGATCTTATGACTTACCTGAGGTCACATAGCTAGTAAGTGACAGAGCTGAGATTAGAACCCAGGTCATCTGATCACAATTCCGGTGCTCTTTGAACTGTGTCTCAATGAAAGGGTGTCACAGTGAAAGAAAAGGTATCTAGAGCGTGTTTTGTGGATACCACTGTTCTACGCAGGCCATTATTTCAGTGAATCTGTGACCTTATTGATATGAGTACAGTCAGTTCTGCTATGACAAGGCATATGAATTCCTCAAACTTGCTTAATAAAAGCCAGGGGCTTATGGAAAAAATAGGGTTAAGGGCATAATGCTTAACTACTTTGTCACTGATGCATAAAGAAAAGATAGAAATCTAATAATTATGCTACCACTGTTTTATACATGTTAAATGGTTAAGAAATATGTAAATACTCCAGTAAATATATAAATATTCCAACAGTGGTGTCCATGGCTTAGGCTGTTGCTCGGCCAGGGCCTCAGGTGAGCAGGCCATAGCAGATGGTTATAGGGGGAGTAGAAGGAAGTGTGTGTACCCACCCTCCTCTGCCCATAGCTCCTACTGTACCTGAAGATATACCATAAATATGGCACTTAGCCTTGAAAAAGACCTGAAGTTTTCTTGTGGAAGTGTGCGTTAGAAGAGTTACAGCTTATGAGTTACTGAAATGATGAAGTTTTCTGCATTCTTACTGTTTCTCAAGGAAGAATTCATGCATAAGCAAACTGAAATTCATGTTATGCTCAAAATATTACCTAATATGTCCAATCGTATTGGAACAAATTTGAGTTTTTGAAAGGAACATTAAACAGAACTGATTGTACTTTTCTTCACTATGCCAGATCGTCACCCATTCATGTCTGTGCATCCTGTGCAATTTTCATTCATGCCTTTTTTTTTTTTTAATGAGACTAGATTTTCCTATCTCACTCAGGCTGGAAATGCAACAGCCTGTCATAGGCCTGATCACAATACTGATTGGCATGGAAGCTTTAACTTGCTCCATTTTTTTCCAGCCTGGCTCTGTTTGCCCTTTTTGAGGTGACCTGGTAGCCCCACTCTGCTCTTGAAGTTCACCATATTGGTACCAGACTTAGTATGGGTACCCATTGGCTTTAGCCCTTCTGTAGCTCAGAACTCCCATACTCAAGTACTTCACCAACCTCAGCCTCCCCAGCTGCCACCATGCCAAGCCAACTATGTCCTCTCACAGATTTGCCATAGATGGTCTGCCTAACATGCTAGACTTCTTCCTTGTATTCTCTTGACATTGGGTGGCTACTGAGAGAGCATGAAAACTCTCCACCAGTTATCTCTTGCTATATGACTGACCCACATTTTTCCCCTAGTCATAGATTTTCCTGCAGACATCCTTTACTCTTTTTAGATGCCAAGTATTTTTTTTTTTTGTGAGGCAATTGGGGTTAAGTGACTTGCCCAGGGTCACATAGCTAGTAAGTGTTAAGTGTCTGGTCTGAGACCAGATTTGAGCTCGGGTCCTCCTGACTCCAGGGCCAGTGCTCTATCTACTGCGCCACCTAGCTGCCCCAAAGATCTGGATATTTATTTTTTTGTTTGTTTGTTTTTTGCGAGGCAATGGGGTTAAGTGATTAGATGCCAGGTATTCAGGAGGATTTATTTTGGGAAGGTCTGGACCTTTATTTTCATTGGTGTAGGACATATCCAGTGAGGAAAGCCCCTTCGCTAGTATAGATCAGCTCATTACAGACCTTGTCTGACTTATAGTCTTAGAGAATTGCTTGAGGACAAAGAGTTTGGAGACTTGCCCAGAGTTAGTATAGTATCAAAGGTGGGTGGGACCTGTGTCCTCCTGATTCAAGTCTGTCTCTTTTTACCCTAATTCAACTGTACCTTGATGCCTTTCTACATGTTACAAAAGAAACATAGGATGTGGTTTCTGCTCTCCGGGAACTTGGAACCTGTTTCCCTTTGTGTTCTTAGTAATTAAACATTGGTTATTTAATATGACATTTAAAATTGAAGAGATATTGTGGATTAGCTTCTCAGTGGTTCCTTCTATTTATGTGTCATTGAAAGATCAAGTGTGGCAAAATAATGCTTCCTCTGCATTCCAGAATGTTCTGTCTTTCTATCTTTTTGTTCTTAGAGTGAAATTCTGTGTCACATTTCTGTATCCTGGTCTAGTTGCTATCTGAATCTATGGTAATCTGACCATATTCAGCCTTGAGTATATTAGGCTGTAAATATCTTCACATCAGAATTCAGATTCTGTGTAAACTAAAAGAAAGCCTACACCATGAAAATAATAATAATAATAATAATTAATAATAATATCAACTATGACTATTATAGACATTTGCACAATGCTTTAAGATTTCAGTAACAATTCACAGCAAACCTTCAAGGTAGGTCCAACAGATCTTTTCTTTCCCATTTTACAGATGAGGAAACTGAGGCTCAGCCAGTTTAGGTGACTTGCTCATGTTCGCTCAGTTCCTAAGTGTCAGAGGCCAGATGTAGACTAAGGTCTTTCTGACTTCAGATTGAATACCCTCTCCTCTATGTCACACTACCTTTCAGATATATAGATGGCAACATATAATCCTTTTCTCATTTTCCTTTGAAATGTCATGGTTCAAAATTGCCCACTAGTAGATCCATTCTTTTGGCTTGGTCTGCTGGGACATTTTCTTTAATTTCAATTAGTGGAAAGTGGTTAGGTTTCTGCGCATAGGATGTATATGTAAGGGCTAAGGAACGGGTCATAGTGAAAACTGGGAGAGGAAAGCAAACATGTTACCACATTAAAATGTACTAAATCCACATCTGCTCCAGATTGCACGAAAACCGGCAGTATGCAGAAGAGTGTGGCATCCAGATGTCTCTGACTTTCAGGCACCCTGTGGGTATTTTTGGCTCGTCTTGCCAGTTACAGTTATTATGAGAAACACACTGTGAAAATTGATTTCTGTTCAAACAGGTCTCAGTTTGTACAGAGCGTTATTGCTCAGTGTCTGGTGGAACTGTCCTCTACTAGAAGCACGTTTAGATTCACTGTTCAAGGACAGGATGGAAAAACGTACATCTTGGTAAGAAACTTTCTCTTTTATGAGGATGGGCCGTCCCTCCCTTCTTTGCCCAGGTGGGGGGACTATGGTGTGAAACACTGCATATAATGTCAGATTTGGTTGATCAACTGGTGAGTTTTACTGAGCTGATTTATTTTTTCACTTCACTTTTAAAAATTTCTTTTAAGGCATGGCTCTTTGTGTGGTGGAAGGGAGGAGAATATTGGAAAATAAAGATGGTGTAAAAATGTAACTAATTAAGACAAGTTATCATTTCTAGTTATTTGACTTGTGTTTCTCTTAAATTGTAAGCTCCTTGAGGGCAGACCTTGTGTTGCTTGCCTTTGCATCCCCCCCACCCCATACCTCATCAGGGCCTAATACTTTTGTTTGGTATTTAGATAGGCACACCGTATATATTTGTTGAATTTAGTTGTAATAAATTCTCCATGGGAGACATGTCTGTATCACAGATTATGAGCTTTTCTTGAACATTCCTATTTGACTTGTCATGTTGATGGATGCTCAGAGATGTATCTGGTAATTAGGTGATAACAGTGGGTAGAGTACTGGTCCTGGAGGCAGGAAGACCTGGGTTCAAATTTGGCCTCAAGACCCTTACTGGCTGTGTGACCCTGGGCAAGTCATATAATCTGTCTGCCTCAATTTTCTCACCTGTAAAATGGGGATGTTAATAGCACTTACCTCCCAGAATTGTTCTGAGGATCAAATGAGATAATATTTGTAAAGAGCTTAGTGTAGCGTTTAGCACATACTGAATGCTTAATAAATGTTTTTTTCCTTCCTTCTTTCTAAGGTAGTTCCCTTCCTTAACCTACACTGAGTTGGAAAGGCTCAGTAGTAGAATAGTATCTTGCTGTGCGGGTATCCATGAGTCATGTGGATTAAGTTTTGCAGGGGCCTGTCAATAGTCCAGTCACCCTGCACAGAGGGTTCTGAGGTGCCATTCAACAGCCCTGGGCAGAGTGTTGCCACATCACTTTTGAACTCCTAGGCCACAGCTTCTATACTTCCAAAAGGCCTTTTTATGAAATGCTGAAAACTTGACTTAAAGCAATCTTCAAGGAATTCTGTGAAATCAGAATTTTGATTTATTTTTGCTAGACTTCATTTATTTATTTATTTATTTATTTATTTTTTAGGCAATTGGGGTTAAGTGACTTGCTCAGGGTCACACAAGTAGTAAGTGTCTGAAGCCAGACTTGAACTCAGTTCTTCCTGACTCCAGGGCTGGTGCTCTGTCCACTGCGCCATCTTTTGCTAGACTTTCTTGAAGACCTATTTGTCAATCAACAAACATTTTTTTGAAATTAAATTTTATTTTTTTAAACAAATCTATTTTCTCTCCCTTCCATCCCCCACCTTATTGAAAAAAGAAAAAAAGACAAACAAGATCCTTGTAGCAAATATTCATAGTCAAGCAAAACAAATTCCATCATTGACTATCTTTCTTTTTCTCCATACACACACAGACACACAATGTACATACGCATATATAAATATATATACACACATATGTTTTATTATGTATCTGCCTACTGTATGCAAAGGACTGCGCTAAATATTGGGGAAACAAAGAAAACTCAAAACCAGCCCCTGCCCTCAAGGAGCTTGCATTCTAATGAGGGAGATAAAGTATACATACATACATATACATAAAATATACATATACATACACATGAAATATACAGAGAGTAGGTGGTTAGTAGCCTTAAAGGGGAAGGCACTAGCAGCAGGATGAACCAGGTCAGGCATCCTGCAGAAGGTAGGAGTTGAGTTCAGTATTGAAAGAAGCCAGGGATTATTGTCTTCGAAGTAGGGATGGAGAGGGGGAGCATTCTGGGCATGTCGGGAAAACCAGTACAAAGACATGGAGACAGGAGATGGCATATATCTGTCCATTGCCTTTCAACATTCATCCCCACAAACCGTGCCCATGTAAGATCAAGAACTTAAATCAATAAATGTGTATGTTCTGACTGTGTTCCTGAGACACAGTGCCTTGTTCATAGTGGGCACTTAATCAGTGCTTGTGGATTAATTGCTTGGTTGGTTGATTTCAGGTTTAAGAAGAGCATAAGGAGAATTGCTCTAGCTGTTGATTTCAGTTTTGGTGGGTTTTTTTTCTTTCCTTCTTCCTTTTCTCTATAGGTGTGGCTTTTAAACTCAGACAGTTTACTGATTGAATCTCTGGGAAATTCAGAGAGCTCCCAAGCATTCTCGTTATTTGAAGGCATGGAGAGGTTGGATTCCAACTCCACAGGCATCTGGAATGCTGTCAAGGTTCTTTACCGTCCGTGCGTCAAAAATAGAAACAATGAGTAAGTTGCGCTTCTTTGTTTAATTATATTCTCTCTTCTCACATTATGCTTTGGTTTCTGTTTGCATGTTTATAGTTCAAGGGATTACTATTTCAATATTTCAGTAATGAGTCCCATAGGAAATCTGGATTATTATTTATAACTAGATAAAAATATTGAATGAGTTTTTGGTCCTTCTCTTTTGAAAACCTGAGAACCTTACTGTTAAATTCCATATTTTCAAGATTGAGGGGAGAAAGTTGACCTATCAACTTAGATAAAATATTTGTTATTGTTTTTTAGTTGTTTTCAGTCATGTTCGATTCATGTTCATAACCCCATTTGGGGTTTTCTTGGCAAAGATACTGGGATTTTGCCATTTCCTTCTCCAGCTCATTTTACAGATGAGGAAACTGAGTCAGACAGGGCTCAGTGACTTGCTCAGGGTCATACAGCTAGTAAGTGTCTAAGGCCAGATTTGAACTCAGAAAGATAAGTCTTCTTGATTCCAGGCCCAGTACCCTATTCGCTATGCAGCCTAGCTGCCCTTGAAATATTCACATATTTAAATTAAAACAAATTATTATTAATTTTTACTTAACATTTTGAAAACCTTCCTCTTCCTACTTCTTGCTGATTTTTTTATAGCTATCTAAGCTTCATGCATCATAGCCTCCCTTTGTAAATTGAGATCTCATCATTGTTAGAACTATTCCAGTTTATAATATACCTCTGTCCTCAAATTGGCTTTAGTTTAACATTATGTTCCTTGTAAATGTTCTAAGAAGAAAGGGCTCCAGGCTTAGACAATGGAGCACATCCAACAGATAAAGATGCTGTTGACACCATTAGTATTACGTGATAATTCAGTCGGATTCCAAAAGAATAGAAAAGAAAAGACAAAAAGTTGTCAAATAGAGTATTAAAAATAAAATTCTTTTATGCTTTTCTGCCCCATGTGCCTTTTGAAAACAAGGGAGTGTTGTAGATTCAAGAAACTTTGACTGTCTCAGGAAAAAGCGATGGTTTGTGGCGTGGTTGGTAATAGGGGTGATTATCATGCTTCTTCCTTATGTAGCCCTTCTTCCAAAAGGCTCTAGGCAGTTCATCCATTTATCTCATCTGATTACACTTATCTGTCAGAGTAGTATATTGTAAGGATACTATTGGAAGTGTTAACTGATAATGAACTGAGGCTGATGAGAAAAGCACAGGCAACACAAAGTTTTTCTTTTTTTTTAAGACATATCCAGGGGGAAAAAAAAGGATTAAAGAAGAGACGCTGCTTTGGGCAGATGGGACGGTCATGAACAACAGTATTCCTTTCATACTTACTTTGCAGCTGCTTTCTTTGCTGGAGTATGACTGTTGGACTGGAATGGACAGAAAGAAAATGGCTAATAGGCACTAATATGAAAGCTAAATGAGGAGATAGATAGTAAGACAAACACCTAATTGTACTTGATGAATTCAAGTCATCTAGCCCAGATGAGCTCAGTCCTCAGTTACAGAAAGGATGGGTGAATGGGATTAAACCATTTTCAGTGATTCTTTGAAACGTTGTAGGAATAAGAGAGGTAATGGGGAAGTGTTGTTGTTGTTGAGTCCTTTCAGTTGTGTCCAACTCTTTGTGATCCCTTGTGGGGTTTTCTTGGCAGAGCTACTAGAGGGGTTTGCCATTTTTCTTCTCTAGCTCATTTGGCCGATGAGGAAACTGAGGCAAACAGGGTTAAGTGACTTGCCCAGCGTCACTACAGCTAGTGTCTGAGGCCAGATTTGAACTCAGGTCTTCCCAACTCCAGGCCTGGCACTCTGTCCACTGAACCACCTGGCCGCCCTAATGGGGAAGCAGAGAAGGGCAAATGTTTTGATTTGCAAATACAGGAAGAGAATGGAGTCATGACTTCAACTTTAGCCAGATTCCAGACCCTAGCTTTAAAGGAGTGATGTAGGTGGTGCAGTGGATAGAACGCCAGGCCCAGAGTCAGGAAGATTTGAGTTCAAATCTGGCCTCAGATACTTACTAGCTGTGCGACCCTGGGCACGTCACTTAACTCTGTTTGGCTCAGTTTCCTCATCTGTGAAATGAGCTGGAGAAGGAAAAGGCAAACCACTCCAGTGTCTTTGACAAGAAAACCCCAAATGGAGTCACAAAGAGTAGGACACAACTAAGATGACTCAACACAGCAACAGAATTCAAGGAGGGATGCCATCATGGTAAAAGATGTCATATGAAAATCAGTTGAAAGAATCAGGGGTATTTCACTTAGAGAAAAGGTTACCTTATGGGAGTTTTTCTGTCATTTCTTTTGTTTGTTGATCTTTTGCTTTATTTGATAGCTTTAAAAAATTGTTCATGAGATGGTTTTTAAGTGGAGCAAGACTTGACTAGAATACCTTTTTGTGAAGCCCACCTTGTACTTTGGCACGGTTTTCTGCCTTGAGTAAATATCCCATGGACTGTTTAGTCTTCTTTTGACTGTAAATAGCATTGGCTTCTCATGTTCCTTTTCAGTTGGGGCCTAAGTGGGAAATTTCAGCATGTTTTAACTACTTGAGCTTCTGAAGGGGTTACAACTTTTGCCGTTGGAAAAATATGGAAGGGAGCTATGATTTCAGGGGTTGGAGAAACTCTCAATGTGGGAACTACCTCCAGCAATACAAATCTCTGATAGTATATAGGTTAATAGATAAGTCCTAGACTAGAGAATTATCTACCTGCAAGAGAAGTAAAAAGAGGAATAAATACATTACTACTGTGTTTACTCTGAAATTGCTACAGCTTACTTCTTTCCAACTTTCCTTGATCTAAATGTTGCTCAACACTCCAACCTTCCCCCTACTTTCCATAACTGATTTCTTCGATACTCACAACCAACCTTATCATTCATCTTTGTTCTTCTTAGATATGTACAGAGTGTTTCTGCTGGCTCTGAGAAGCCAGAATTGTTTTTAAATTAGATTATATAGCATACAAACATGTAAATGTTTTATTTATTTTTTTATTCATATAATCTCCTTTAGTTTTTATGATCTGTAGGTTTTTTGGCTTTGCTTTGGTTGTTTTATTGTTGTCGTGTGGTGGTGGTGTGGTGGTGTGTTTTAAACTTCCTTAGGACATAGAGTAGTTCAGTGTTATTCATTAATAGAATTTATGGTCCCCTGTGGTCTTCTTCATATTAATTCATATTGATTCAAACTGTTCATTGGAAGGACAAATACTGAAGCTTAAATATTTTGACCACATATTGAAAAGAAAGGAATCATTGGAAAAGACCCTGATGTTGGGAAAGATTGAAGACGAAAGGAGAAGGGGATGGCAGAGGATGAAATGGATGGAAACAGTGAAGTTGGACAGACTTTCAGAGATTGTGGAAAACAGAGGGGCCTGGCATGTTAACATGGTCCATGAGGTTACGAAGAGTCAGGCAGAAGTGAACGATTGAACAATGACAAAAAGTGGTCTTTTTTCTTTGAAGGCCCTCTTTATTAAAACAAACAAACAAAAATATTCTATTGATGCCTTTTTTTCATATCAGTTATTTCTGAATATGATTTCCCTCTAGCAAGAATTTAACCCTCTCACATGAAAAAGAAATCAATCCAGTGACAGTCTGACAGAAGCGAAATATGTTTCATTATCATTTCTCTAGGGCCCTGATTTTTTTTTTCACATACTTAAAGAGTTTTACTTCCTTTTCTTGATTTATGCTCTTGTGGTAGCTATATATTATTCTTTTGGTTGTTCCTATTTCTTTCTGCATCAGTTCATATAAGTCTTCCCCTGTTGCTCTGAAGTATTCATAGTTGTCATTTCTCACAGCACTATAATATCCAATGACATTCCTTTATCACAGTTGATTTCTAATCTTTTGTTTCTAATCTTTTGCTGCCACAGAAAGTGCTACTACAAATATTTTGTTAAGAATCTTTAAAATTCAGAATTTGCTAATCATGAATTAATTAAGATGGGCTGGTCATGTGACAGGAATGAGGTATAACTGGTAGACAGCCTTTTGACTTCATTGCCAAGAGACCTAAGGAAGGCGTTCAACACATTGGGTGGACCCCCTGTGGAATATTTAGGGGATGACATGGACAGGAGTCAGGATGAGATGACTTGAATGGGTCAGAATCTGAAATGTTGGAGGGAATAACCATATGGATGGATCACAGATCCATTGACATATTCATTAGTCTTTATATTAGAATCTAGTTTTCCCCCTCACCCTCAAATGTCAGTTTTTCTTCCAGTACTTTATACTTATATAACTTAAATTTCAACATCATGTCTCCTCCATTCTGTTAATATTTCAGTAACTTTTCCTGTCCCTTAGTGACACTAACAGAAACAATTTGATGAGTCTTTTTCCAGGGTCCTATTGCTAACCCTTTTTCTGGGAATTGTCCTGTCTTTGGGATAGCAAATGTGAGAGAGAATGTTACTATGACGTGAACCAAACCATTCATAATTACACATGCTGAATATCTTAGAATAAACAGGAGAAATGGTAAGGTGCAGTGTAAATGTTTAATGTTACCTTTTCCTCTCTAGTTTAAATAAACATGAGAAATAGATATATTTTCATTAAATCCTAGAGAGGGATTTTATAAACATCTAACACCTTGTTCTGTAATTTTTTTTACAGAAACAGGAAATTAGAAAAATGAGACCATTCACTCTAAATATTTTGGAAAGTAAAGAAATTTTTTTTTTTTTACTGTTTAAGTTAGATAAACCCTAAGTCTATAATTTCTTGGGTATTTTTTCCCCCCTAAGGAAACATCTGATTTTAGCATTCTGGGGAGTTTGGATTAAGAACCAAAATAAAAGTTATAATTATGCTTTTAATAGCACCATTTCTTACTAAAGTCTATTAGGGATTGAGAGGGAAATATCTTGAAAGGTGATATTTACCAACACCATCAGTGTTAGCCCAACTGAGGAAAAAAAAATTTATGAACTAAGTAGATTTGAATCTTTTGCTTGTATCGTGATAAACATATGTAATATATATTGT